GCCCCTTCATTGCCCCTCGTCCGCCTTCTCCTGGTCTTCCTGCTCCTCCCCTTCCTTCCACTCCAGTTCCTGCTGCTGCTGTTTGTCCCCGCCCTCCTCCTTCCTCATCCTCCTTCTCCTCATGACCATCCTCCTGCTCACCTCCTCCACCCATGCACGCAGCTTTCTTCTCTCGATTGCACAACACGATGGGGCCTTGTTTGGAGTTCCAGGTCGGATGATACTCCAGATTTCGTAATAAAAGGGAGGGGGTCTGGACCCTCCAAGACAAGCCATTTCAGACCCCCCCCGTTGGAGAACCCTCCAAAACATCGTCCCCAGACCCCCCCATGCCATCCAAGATAGCCTGGATGAGACCCCCCCCCGAAATGAGACCCCCCTCCCTTTATTACGAAATCTGGAGTACGCGTCCGCGGATAGAGGCAAAGCCGGCGCAACGGGAAGGGCTGGGAGGGAGTGGTGGGCTGTCAGCTATGGCGCGAGCACGCCCAGTGTGCCCTCTTCCCCCTCCTCCCCCCCCGCCCCCCCTTCCTCCCCTGCCTCCGTCCTCGGCGCTCGTCCCTTTCCCCTCCCTCCTCCCCCTCCTCCTCCTCTTCCTCTTCCTCCTCCTCCTCCTCCTCCTCATCATCCTCCTCCTCCTCCCTCCTCCTCCCCCTCCTCCTCCTCCTCTCCTCCTCCTCCCCTCCTCCTTTCCTCCTTCCCCTCCTCCTCCTCCTCCTCCTCCTCCTCCTCCTCCTCCTCCTCCTCCTCCTCCTCCTCCTCCCCCGCTCTGCCCACCCCTCCTCCCGTCTCTCCCCCTCTGTTTCCCCGCCTCCTGCCGCCTCCTGCCGCCCTCCTCTCCCGCTCCCTCGTTTGGTCCGAGCGGCGCTCGCGGCCACAGCGCGGGCCCCGTGTTTCTGCATCGGACTCCCGCCTCGTCGTTGCCGCTCCCTTCTCTCCTTTCTCTTCCTCCTTCCCCTGGGCCTCCTGTTCCTCACGCTCCTTCTGCTCCTGCTCCTGCTGCTGTTTTTCCTCTTCCTCCTCATTCTCCCCATTTCTTCTCCTAATCCTCCTCCTCCTCCTCCTCCTCCTCCTCCTCCTCCTCCTCCTTCTCTTCCTCCTACTCATTTTTGGACGTTGGGCAATCTCGAGCAGCGGAGCTGTAGTGTTCTACTCTGATGGTCGAACAAAGCATGTAAACTCAGACTCAGCGAAGTGCAGAACTACTTAAGCTGATGGCACGTGCGGAGCAGGACGGGCAACACAGGTTATACTAACACATCGACGCCCTGGTGGGCACAGGACATGTAGCCGTCAGCTGGGGGAGAGAACACCACAACCATAACCATACTCTGATAACGAAAAGAGGGACAGCACCGAGCAGAGTGGAGGATATACGCATACAGCAATCGAAGGTACGTAACGCCGTGAAAAGGCCTGCCTGCAAGCTGTTCATCTGGACCTCCACAGTGGTATGTAGCACCACTTGGGTATGCGAGGCAGCCATGGTAGAGCTGAGGCAGACGTAGTGTTATATCCCTCCACCCGCCCCACTGATGCCTCCCATCCCTTAGGTCAGGCAGGCTGGTGAGAGGGGCTGGAATGGTAAGCGGGCTTCAGGTAAGGCATGTGCGAGTGTGGCTTGCAGCTCAAAACTGCTAAGTAGAGGAAAGGCTGGCCCAGACAGCACTGGCTGGCCTGAGGCACGGGCAGTGCAACACGGTACATACTGCACCATCGTCAAGTAGTGCAAAGTTGTTGTAGACTGGCGCTGTATAGTAGGCTATTCTGAACGTGATGACACGTAGGCCTGCTGCGAAGGATGTGAGAGAGTGGCATTTGGCGCTCGGCGGCCCACAGTGGGGCTGGCGCCCCTCCGCCGACGGCCAGCATGGCCATTGTTGTCGGTGGTGTCGTGTTCCCTCCCCCCCCAAAAGAAAACCACACTGCGCCCCCAGCTCCACAATGCACCCGTCCTTCTGAGGGTAGGCTTGCTGCGCGCGGATGAGATCGCAAGTGCGGCCTACATGTAACAGTGCAGGGATGCTGGTAGAAGGCTGACATAGGCGTGTTTAAGGATTTGCTCAATCCCGTATGCATAACCAGCACATTCCAGGCAGTCGGAGGCAGTGCACATCCAGATCTTGAAAGGTTGGCTGAGGTATGCCGTATCGCGTCGCTCTGTGTGAATAGCATGGATGGCGCTGGCAGCAAAGTGGGTAAGGCTGGCCCGAGCAGGCGATCACCGAAGGTTCTCAGTTGGTCCTATCAACGATGCCTTTGTAGTGCGCACGGTGCAGGCGGCAATTTTTGGTGGGCTGCTGCCCAGGGTTTGTTCAGTTCACCCCAAACCTCCTCGGCTCCAGGACCCTCGTGCTTTTCGCAGTATCTTGCCGGCCTTAGCACGAAACCATGCATGCTAGTGGCCGCAGACAGTGCTGCGAGAGCTAACGTAAGATACCCTGAGTAGCTGGCTAGCTGTTGACTTCCTCATGCTCAGCCTCCTGCTCCTCCTCCTTCTCCTTATCTCCTCCTCGGCCTCCGCCAATGTGCACAGGTTTCCCTTCCAGATTGCTCATAGCACGACGTGGCCATTTTGGGGGTTCCAGGTCCGCTAAGGCACCCGTCGGCGGACAGGGGGAACTCAGCCAAGCGGGAAGGGATGGGCGGGAGAGGCAGGACGTCAGATGCGGCGCGGGATCACCTGGCGGGCCCCTCCCCCCTCCCCCCCTTCCACCCGACAGTGCGTGCCGTGCTCTACCATGCACCGCGCACCCTCTCGGGAGCATTGTCCTGCTCGGCACCCGACTGGAGTAGCGAGGAGCTCTACGCCACGGCACGGGATGGGTAGGATGGGCAGGATGTCAGATGTGGCGCAGGCGCACATCGCTTGTCCTCCTCCCCCCTCTCCTTCCTCCTCCTCCTCCTCCTCCTCCTTCTCCTCCTCCTCCCTCCTCCTCCCTCCTCCTCCTCACCCTTTCCTCCCCCTTTCCTCCCCTCCCCCAGACGGCGTGCGGCAGGGCTCCCGCCTCTCCCGCGCATGTAGATCTCACACGTCGCGTGCGGATCTGCATGTATGTATGTCTGCATGTACGCATGCATGCATGTGTGTATGTGTTTTTATGTACGTCTTTTTTTGGTATGCATGCATGCATGTACGTACGTGCGTATGCATGTATGTATGTATGGATGTACATGTGCACACGTGTGTGTACATGTATGTATGTGTGCATGTACGCATGTATACATGCACACGTTATAAATCTATGTATACATGCATGTATGCATGTAATCATGTATGTCTGTATGTATGTATGCATGCACGTGCGTGTATGTAGGTACGCATGCATGGATGTATGACTGCATGCATGATTGTATGTATGCATGTGTGCATGCATATGTCTGCATGCATGCATGCATTTGTTCGCTTATGCAGGTATGCATGCATGTATGTATGTAAGTATACATGTATGCAGACAGGTATGTATGCATGTCTGTCTCTATGTATGCATGCATGTATGTCTATCTGTATGTATGCGTGCATGTGTGTATGTATGTATGCATGCATGCGTGTATGTGTGTCTGTCTGTCTGTTCGGATGCATATATGCATGCAGGTATATATGTTTGTATGCAGTATAATGGTGTGCATTGCATGGTAATACAATGCACTGTAATGTAATGCAATGTTCTGTATTGCCATTCGTTGTAATGCTTTGTGGTGTGTGTGTGTATGTGTGTATGCGTGTCTGTATGTAGGCATGTATGTATGCATGTCTGATTGTACATCCGGATGTATACGTGCATGCGTGCATGCATGCATGTTCGATTGTCTCGTTCTCTCTCTCTCTCTCTACACACATGTATATATACATATCTACATGCATCTACATGTGTATTGTCTCTCTCTCTATCTATATGCAGCTTCCTTACATATGCATGTCGATGTCTCTCTCTCTCTCTCTCACTCTCTCTCTCTCTCTCTTTCCAGCCTGCGCCACATCTATGGGGCCGATCTCGTTCCTCGTTGTTGCTGTTCCCCCTCCTTTCGCCTCCACCGCCTTCCAATGATTCTTATGTGCCTGTTGCTGCTGCTGCTGCTGCTCCTCCTCCTCCTCCTCCTTCGAGCTTCGAGCTTCGAGCTGCGGGCAGTGTCGAGCGACCGCCCCGATGCCCTCGCTATCCCTTCTCCCAGCGCCTCCCCCTCCTCCTCCTCCTCCTCCTCCTCCTCCTGTTGCGCTCTTGCGCTCCTCGGCAGTCGTCCCGATAGCACAAGACGCCTGCCCAGAAAACGAAAAGGGGAAGTCATGGCCTCCTGAGGGGGACAGGGGCGACTGCCTCCCTTAGAATTCGAGGGATCCTTGCCCTGCTAAAAATCCCCTCCTCCTCCTCCTGCTCCTCCTCCTCCTGCTCCTCCTCCTCCTCCTCCTCCTGCTCCTCCTCCGAGGCCCTCCCCTCCGCCCGCGGAGCGGGTGGGGGAAGCAGCTGCCACTGAACTCTGAGGCAGAAGTCGGGGGCCTTGAGACACCGAGCGCGTTCCACCACTCGCAAAGTGCCTACTCGCAAAAGTCAGGAGAACAAGCGTCTGCCTCAATGTAAGGGATCGCGAATCCCCCTCGGCGGATCCAGGCCATTTGCGAGTAGTTACTTTGCGAGTAGCGGAACGCGCTTGTCTGTTGAGACGGGGGTCAACGCAAAGGGGGGTCAGCCAGGGCGCCGGATCTTGCAGGATCCTGCAGATCCAGGGGTGCACTGACCCGGGCCTGGGGGTGCAGGGTTCCAACTGACCTGGGTCTGCATGGACCAGACTTAGTAAACAAAAAAAAAAACGCCATCAACATAAACTTTTGGCGCTCCGTGCGGATTTCTTGGATCCGCGCTGGGCCCCCTGGCGGCGCCTCCGGCGCCGCCCCTGGCGCGCTCCGCGCGCCGGGGTCCAGCGCCGATCCGAGAAATCCGCGCGGAGCGCCAACATTTTATGTGAATGGCGTTTTTTTTTTTTTTTTTTTTTGTTTGTTTTTGTTTTCTCTCCTCTCTCTCTCCTTCTTCTTCTTTTCTTCTTCTTCTTTTTTCTTTCGTCTTGACCAGACAACGATTCTGGACGGCATGGGCGCAAGGAGTCGCCGCGGGCGCGGGGCGCCGACGGCGGCCCTCGGCGCACCCCTCCGGCCACCGCGGAGCCGGCGCGGGAGTCCGGCGCGGGGCCGGAGGGAGCGCTCTCCCAGGGCCAGCTCCAGGAGCAGGAGGAGGAGGAGGAGGAGGAGGAGGAGGAGGAGGAGGAGGAGGAGGAGGAGGAGGAGAGCCCACCATCCGGGCAGCAAAGGTCGACGTGAGCATCCGCTTTCGGAGGTCCGCGCTGTCTTCTGGGATCGGCGCCGGGCCCCCCCCTCCCCCCGGCGCGCGGAGCGCGCCTTCGGGCGGCGCCGGGGGTGCTGCAAGGGGGGCTCCAGCGCAGATCCGCTGCTCATCCTCGCCCTAATATGCGATGCAATGCTAGGTTGATACTACGCTTTGCGGTGCTCTTCTACGCCATGCCATGCCGTGCTCCACAATGCATCGCGTACCCTTTCGGGATCATTGCCCTGCTCGACATCCGACTGTGCGAGTAGAGAGGGGATCTGCGCCATGGTTAGGGATGGGAGGGAGGGGTAGGATGTCAGATATGACGCGAGCGCACCTAGCTTGTCCTTACTCCCCCTCCTCTTCTTCCTCCTCCGCCTCCTCTTGCTCCTCCTGTTCCTCCTGCTCCCTGCCGCTGCCGCCGCCGCGGCTGCTGCTGCTGCCCCTGCTCGTCGTTGTCGCCCTCCTCCCCCCAGTCTGGAAGTGTGCGGTGCGCAGGATGAGGTCCAGATCCCCACTTCAGCCCCAAGGAGGTTCTCATTGCGGAGCTGGTTCCACTGATTTGGATGTGGCGGACTCGTTCAAGCATAAATATTGTCATACTGCCTTGCACTGATGGGGCTGATTTTGCATCTGTTTCAGGTGCGGTTCGTTCCTTCACAAGACTTTTTTTGTGAAAACGGGTACGTCCAAACCGTGTGCTAAGCTTCTGCCAGGCCACGGCACGACGAATGTCAGCAAAGGCTTGCAGGGTAAGAACCCTCGCCGCCCTGAGTTGTTCATTGGCTCTCCTCTGGACCTCCCCTCGACCTCGATCTCCGTCTCTGCTCTCAAGCCCCGCTTCTTGGATGATGAGGAGGAGGAGGATCCTAAGAGCGCCATCCTCCGAGTGGCCGTCTCCCTTAGCCTCGATGAGATGGCCGCGGAAGGGTGTTCCAATGCCGATGCGCCGGCTTCGATAACTGGCGCAAGTTTTGACGTTCCTTCGGAATCAGGATATGATCAACTAAAGCGTCAATCTTCCCTGACGCGCATTTTGGTTGCCTCTCTATCTCGGAGAGCGTTCTCCCGGGGTGTGGGCAGATCTTCCTCCCTGAGCTCTGAGGAATGCTTCCCCTGGATGCGGGGTGGCGGCTTGTCGGTGTTCAGTATCTCGAGACGTCGCCAGGCTTAGGGTGAGGCATTTCCCTTCCTGGCCATTCTTGTTCCCTGCCCCTTGTCTGCTCAGGCTGTGTGGTAACTCAAGGTTTGCTGTACTGGCGTGCCTCAGTGCTGCAAGCATGTGTCTCGCTTGCCCTCCAGGCAGACAGTGCGTGGATTTATGGTTGGCACATCCGCCCTGGTACCCTGGAGGTGCCGATCAAAGGTTGGCATTCCGAGCGGCCAGCGGTCCCAGGAGCCCGATGTTTGTTCACGCAGAGGTCGTTCTTACTCAAATCCTCCTCCTCCTCCTCCTCCTCCTCCTCTCCCTTCTTTAATGTACGAAGTTCCCCCCATGCAAACGACAGGTAACATCCTGCAGCAGCCCTTTGGTGCGAAACGTCTGCTAGGACGCCCCAGTGGGATGACAGAGGCGTGCTCAGCGCGGTGAGTAGGGAGGATGAGGTGGAGGAGAAGGAGGAGGAGGTGGAGGAGGGGGAGGAGGGGCAGGAGGAGGAGCAGGAGGAGGGGGAGGAGGAGGAGGAGGAGGAGGAGGAGGAGGAGGAGGAGGAGGAGGAGGAGGAGGAGGAGGAGGAGGAGGGGAGGAGGAGGAGGAGGAGTTGGGAGGAGTGGAGGAGGAGGAGGAGGAGGAGGAGGAGAAGGAGGAATGCTGCATGTCTCGCCCCTCCCCCTGGCCTGGCTGCCGCGAAGGGGTGGGCTGTCAGATATGGCGCGGGCGCGCTGCCCCTGCCCCGCCCCCCCTCTGCTCTCCCCTCGATCCCCCCTCCCCCCCCCGCTCGCCGCCCTTTTTGCTCTCCCTCCCTCCCTCCCTCCCTCCCTCCTCCTCTCTCTCCTCCTCCTCCACCTCCTCCTCCTCCTCCTCCTCCCTCCCTCCCCTCCCTCCCTCCCTCCCTCCCTCCCTCGGCTCTCCCCTCGCCCCCCCCCCCCCTGCTCGCTGCCCTTTTTGCTCTCCCTCTCTCCCTGCCTCCCCTCCTCGCCCGCGGAAGGCGACGGGGATGCACTTCATACTCGGCAGTGGCATGTCCGGCCCGTAGCGTCGGGCGGCGGAGGACGAGGAGAGGGATGTTGCTTGTGGTGGTGGTGATGGTGATGAGGATGATGGTGGTGCTGCTGCCGCTGCTCAACATGATGATGCTGATGATGCTGATTATGCTGATGATGCTGATGATGCTGATGATGTTAATGACGATAATGACGATGCTGATGAGGAGGAGGAGGACGACGATGATGATGCTGATGCTGATGATGAAAATTATGAAGAGGAGGAGGAGGAGGAGGGCCTTGAGAAGGAGGAGGAGAGGAGGAGGAGGGGGAGGAGAAGATGAAGGAGAATGATGGAGATGAGCGTCGAATGAGGAGGAGGATGAGGATGAGGAACATGATGGACCCACGAACCCGGAAAGGGATATAGACATGTGCAACATGGTCACGTTATCACGATATCCAACTGGGCGACACCTCACGAAACATCCCACGAGACACCCCGCGAAACATCCCAGGAGACACCTCACGAAACAACCCACGAGACACCTCACGAAACATTCCACGAGACACCCCGTGAAACATTCCACGAGACACCCCACGAACAGGCAACCACTCAACCAGACACCCCACGAAACATTCCACGGGGGTGCGACTGGGTGTGGTCGTGCTGGGGTGTGGTCGTGCTGGAGTATGGTCGTGTTGGGGTGTGGTCGTGCTGGGGTGTGGTCGTGCTGGGGGGTGGTCGTGCTGGGGGGTGGTCGTGCTAGGGGGGTGGTCGTGCTGGGGGGTGGTCGTGCTGGGGCGTGGTCGTGCTGGGGCGTGGTCGTGCTGGGGCGTGGTCGTGCTGGGGTGCGGTCGTGCTGTGGTGTGGTCGTGCTGGGGTGTGGTCGTGCTGGGGTGTGGTCTTGCTGGGGTGGGGTCGTGCTGGGGTGTGGTCGTGCTGGGGTGTGGTCGTGCTGGGGGGTGGTCGTGCTGTGGTGGGGTCGTGCTGGGGTGGGGTCGTGCTGGGGTGTGGTCGTGCTGGGGTGTGGTCGTGCTGGGGTGTGGTCGTGCTAGGGTGGGTCGTGCTGGGGTGGGGTCGTGCTGGGGTGTGGTCGTGCTGGGGGGTGGTCGTGCTGGGGGGTGGTCGTGCTGGGGCGTGGTCGTGCTGGGGCGTGGTCGTGCTGGGGTGGGGTCGTGCTGGGGTGTGGTCGTGCTGGGGTGTGCTCTTGCTGGGGTGGGGTCGTGCTGGGGTGTGGTCATGCTGGGGTGGGGTCGTGCTGGGGTGTGGTCGTGCTGGGGTGTGCCTTCCCGCGAGAGACATCCTCAGAATTCCTGCGCGCGGGGCGCTTTTCCGTGTCGCGGTCGGCTCTGCAAAACCAGCGTGTCGCTCGAGACATCCTCAACAAATTCTGAAACCAAGCGTTTCGCTCGAGACATCCCCAACTCTGCAAAACCAGCGTCTCGCTCAAGACATCCTCAACAAATTCTGAAAAACAAGCGTTTCGCTCGAGACATCCTCAAACATAATTTCGCCGGCCTCCTTCGACCTCGATATTTATCAGGGAAAAATTTCGCCGGCCTCCTTCAAGTTCGGCGCGGGGGACTATGTTTACATACTAAAAGAGAACCCTGGGCCGACGCCCTTTCCGGGAAAAAGAAGAGGGGGACGAGGAGGAATGATGATGACGCTGCTGCTGATGATGATGATTCTGGTCTTGATGATGATGCTGATGGTGATGATGCTGCTGATGATAATGATGCTGCTGATGATGATGCTGCTGCTAATGATGATGGTGATACCGACACTGATGATGATGAGGATGATGAGGACGACGATGCTGATGCTGATGTTGATGATGATGCTGATGATGATGCTGATGCTGATGCTACTAATGATGATCATTGTGGTGGTGATGATGATGAGGATGATACTGATGATTATGATGATGCAGATGATGCTGATGATGATGATGCCGATGATGATGATGATGATGTTGATGATGATGCTGATGATGATGATGGTGATGATGATGATGATGACGATGCTGATGATGATGAGGAAGATGAGGAGGAGGATGAGGATGGGGCAGGAGGAGGAGGAGGGCCTTGAGAAGGAGGATGAGTAGTAGTAGTAGTAGTAGTAGTAGTAGTAGTAGTAGTAGTAGTAGTAGTAGTTCTAGTAGTAGTAGTAGTCAGTAGTAGTAGTAGTAGTAGTAGTAGTAGTAGTAGTAGTAGTAGTCGTAGTAGTAGTAGTAGTAGTAGTAGTAGGTAGTAGTAGTAGTAGTAGTAGTAGTAGTAGTAGTAGTCGTAGTAGTAGTAGTAGTAGTAGTAGTAGGAGGAGGAGGAGGATGAAGCTGTGATCTTTATTCTCGATCTGTGGGGTTCGGAGCTCTCGGCCCTGTCTTTCGCACGGGCATCGTGCGCCGTGCTCGGACCTGGAGGCGCAGCACCGAGGCAGGAGAGGGTCGAGAGCTGTTGGGTCCCACGCTGCGAAATGTCCGCCCACGCTGGCTTCGGGTAGGACTTTGCGGAAATGAAATTAGCATGCAAGTGATCGAGCAATTCGCTCTACTCAGCCTATGCGTGTCCTGAATGTGCTCCACACTGTGCTGCTCTGCGCCACTCCAGTCCACTCCTCCACTCCTGGGCCAGTCCACTCTACTGGGCCTCCAGCGGCTCAGAAAAGGCATAAGGACGCCCAGCAAGGCAGAACACCGCCCCGCAACCTCCCCTTTCCTCCCCCTCCTCCTTCTCTTCCTCCTCCCCCTCCTTTTCCTCGACTCCTCTTGCTCCTCTTCCTCCTCCTCCTCCGCCTGACGCTGATGCTGCTGACATTAGTTAAGGGCCTCCGTCCCTTGCAAAAACGATGCCCTCAGGAACTAGTTGAAAAAGCTTCGCCGAGCAAGAACGAAAACAACTTTTGAGTACAACAACCAATGTTTCTTCAAACTCAGCTCAAACACAACAAACAAAGATACGATCTCTTGCTGTACTCACATCTCTCAGTCTATATCGCGTCTCCTTACTTTTCGCGTGCTCTTCGGCGATGTGTTTTTTCCACAGGTCTCGATATCGGCATGTTGATGAGCTCAACTGTTCGAGGAGGCGATGTGGAGGAGGTGGGGGGAGGACCTAACTGGCGGGAGGCGGGGCGAGAGGCCAGGGCGACCAGGAGAGATGGGGGGGCGGGGGGTCGTGATCCGGAGCCCCTTCGGCCCGCGCCCCGCCGCCTCGCCTTCCTCCTGTGCCGCTTCATCGTCGTCGTTGTCCCCCCCCCAACAGCCCCGCGCCCCCCCCCGCCTCGCCTTCGTTCGTCTGCCGCCTCATCATCGTCGCCGGTGCCTCCCCCGCCGGGGTTCCTCGACCAAATTGAAGAACATGAAACGGCATAAGCATAAACTTTTGGCGCTCCGCGCGGATTTCTTGGATCCGCGCTGGGGCCCACTGGCGGCGCCTCCGGCGCCGCCCCTGGCGCGTTCCGCGCGCCAGGGAGGGGTTCTAGCCAAGATCAAAAAAATCCGTGGGGACCTCCAAAAGTTTCTGTTTGTCCCTTATTTTTCCCTCCTCTATTATCATTGTCGGCGTTGTCCCCCCCGCCTGGTTTTCTCGACCAGAGGAGCCTGAAGGCGAAAGCGTGCAGTCGTTCACGCTTCGCCATGTCGCCGTAGTTCGCCGCCTCGATGCGCGCGCAGCCCGTGCCATGTCCAAGCTCACGCGGGACCTCCAAGACGCATGCAGGTCTGAGATTGCGCCGTCGGAAGGCTCTTCCATCCGCTGCCCTGATTAGCCCCCAGCAGACCCATCCAGGACGGGTGGGTCTTCAGATAGTCTTCCGTGTTTGTCCAGGTCGTGCTGGTGAGGCCGTTCCCGTGCGGACATGTCCCCTCAGGAGCGACCGCTCCCTGTGCACGAGCCTGGCCGCGTGGAGGCCGATTTTGGGGATGCCTAGCTTCGGGTCTTGCATCATGCATTTCGCGCCCACTGCCTGCAGGTGAGCCATACCCTCAACCATGCACGGAGGATTCCACCCCGCCCTGACGATTTCCTTGACGTACCGCTCTTCGTCGCGCTGGAAGACGTAGACACACCTCAGAGTTGCATCGTCCGTGCGCACGCACACCGCTCGTTTTTTCTCTGAGGACCCGACCCTTCAGAAAAAGAACTCGTCGATATTGTTTTCTGGGGGTTGTTTGGGTTATTTAACGCGTGACCGCTCGCAGATGGACTTGCTGGGAAGGTGTTTTTTCTGGAGGTTGTTAGTCTTTTTTCCTGGGATTGGGGCGGGTCTTCAGACCCTCCCAGAGAGAAACCTCCCCCCAGAAACAGAAGCCCTTCTGCTGGGCAGGCGCGGGGAGGCGGAGGGTGAGGGGCGAGGGGGGGCAAGGTGGAAGGTGGATGGGGGAGGTGAAGGCGGAAGCCAGAAACGACGAGGAGGATACGTTATAGCGGGGGCGGGGGGCGACGCCACCCCGAGGCCAAGGGAGCAGCTCGGCGGCCATGCCCCCCCTGGTACCGGCGTCAACGAAGCCGTCATCGTCGATGTCTCGACTCGGGGGATCGGCCGCTGAACGTCCTCGGAGCCGCTGGCGGTATCGACGGCCCCTGCGACAGGGGCAGTGTCCTGTCGGCTACAGTCGGGGCCCTGAAGAAGGAATCCTTTTCGTTGGGGAGGGGCTCCGTGTTCCTTGATTGCTTCACAGTTTTTCTCGGGTTTTCCTTTGGTTTTCGATGGAACATCGGAGTTTAACTTGTGGGAAAAAGGGGCCTCGTTCCTTATTCAGGGTTCCTTAGGTCAACGTCCCGACTGTACTCAGACAGCAGAGTTTCGAGCTCCTCGTTGTCATCCAGCATGTTGCCCAGCGCGCCCTCGAGCAGCGCCCCCATCGGCCGCGGGCCCGCCAGCCCTGGGCGCCCTCACGGAGGTCGCTCCCAGCACGTCGTCCTCGAGCAGCCCCCCCCCGGAGCAGAGCGGGCTCGCCAGCTCGCGCATCCCCCGACGGCGCCTCCGCGGCGACCTCGCCTGCGCTGCCTCCGTGCGCCCTCGCGGCAGCGCCC